ATTTAGAACATATACAGAATGGGATTATTAGAGAAAAAAATTGTGAAAAATATGTTTTCATAAAGACAGAAAAAATAGTATTTTATTAATGTCACTGTTATATAACATTATACGTCAATTAAGTTCAATTGGCATAATCGTAGTGATGGAACAGCTATGATACTGCATTTATTTCTTTTTGTGATCTTGTAATTGTTTTAAATGTCATTCACAATTTTAATTAATTAATTACGTATTTATTAAGGATTGTAAAAAAAACTTATAACTTATAATTTTATCGTTGGGAAACTGTTGTAACATCGTATATATCCTATTATTTCATTTTAAAACTATAATTATAATCGTTGAACTTTTGAAATTTTTGCAAGAATTAGTATCAAATATAAACAGATTTCTCGTAGTATGCACTAATTATATTAATGCTACATGAATGCTATATGATCCATATCACTTGAGAGATCCTTTCTTTTTTAATATCTGTATCATATTTCTTCGGATGAATTAAATCATTATTGTATAATGCTATTTTCGTAGTAAGAAATAACCTTAAACATTTATTTAATTTCATTTGGAAATTTTTCTTAATGAATTCGAAAAAATGTTTTGTACCACGACACTAATCTATCACAAATTATTTTTTATTCTTGTGAAGTCTTTAGCCTTTCTTTATTCTTCTATTGAGCCAGAGCACAAGTCTGCCAAGGGACACACACAGATCCTCACTGACCAAGCTTAATAACAGCTGTTAAAATTTTGTTACAGCCTCTACTTAACCTTCTTTTTTCTAATTTAATTAATAAGAGAAAATCGTAAAAGATTGAAATCATGTACTGTTGTTTTTAAAATGGAAGCTTTAGTATTAACACACATTTTTATGCGGCGTTTAAAATATACAGACAGAGTTAAGAAGACGAAAAAGGAAGTTAAGATCTTACAATAAGCGCCTGTCGTATACTGCAAAATTTTGGCGTTTTAAATGCGGTATAACGCTACTATTTTAGATATATTATTATTGTCGTGTGTAGAAAATCGTCGACATGATTGTACAATACTTGTCTATGTTTATTGTACATAATACGCATAATTAAAATGATTTGATGGGAACAAGTCTTTCGTTTTTCGCTATAAGTAAGCGTATATATGTAATTTCTAACATTTCACCTATTTCCAAGCTATTGAATATAAAATACCTCGTTAGGTATTACATCGCTACCACAATGAATTTGGATTATTTTATTTTAATTGTTCCATCCTAAATAATATGTTTCTTTTATAAATAAAAAAATAGAGAGGAAGAGATCGGATAACATGGTAAACCGACAATCGTCTTGCACAAACAAACGAATGCCTGATATACCAAATATTCACGAAACTTATTTTTTTACGATGAAAAATTGTATTGTAATCGTAGTATCATTGTGATTAATTACAAAAAATCCATATAGAGTACCCCAGTGAAACATGAAGTTATCAATTATTACTTCCATAATAAGAAGATAAAGATAATTAGAGCGTAAAGAACGAAGTGATCAGAATTTCTAATATAAAGTTCAATAAAAAGTTCAGTATATTTTTTTGTATTAATATTATATATATGTTTTATATTGATATTATATATATTATGTTTTTTATTAATTGATAAATACGTTTTCCCTAGAAATATGCTATTGATATTGTCAATAATGAGTCGATAAATAAATATCCGATGTCTAATACTTTGTAACATATTTTCAGAAATCTATATTTAATATTCTGATATTTATCTTTAGACAATACCACTTTATAATTATGTAGTGTTTTTTTCTGCATGATTGAAATGTACACGTGTATTATCTCCGTATTATTAGCTTATAAAAAAGCGATATTTTATTTATTGGAAGAGAACTGCAAAATAGTATATTAAGAGAATAAAGCTGGAGTTACATTTTCTATTTAAGAATATTTAATATTTGAACATTATTTTTTAAAGTATAAGAAAAGAGGCGCACTGAATTATTTTTTCTTTAGATAGATATCTGATTAAATATTATTTTCTTATATCGTGTCTTTCAACAATCTGTTTAACATGCAGTGTTTTATTTTTTTTTCTGATATTTTTGTGATATTTGATTTACGTGATTATAATTAGAAATCAAGTTTTATATTATATTTGTGATATAATAAATAACATCGTGATGTTATTAATATTTCAAGATGATAAATTAATAATATTGTAATAATGTTTTAATCAATCATCATTGATGATATTCCAATGCATGTAAGTATGTAATTTATATTATTTATTTGCAATATTAAGGATATTATATAGTGGTATTGTTAATATATTTATGTATATCAGTAATATATATAACAAGTTATAAAATTATTGAAAACTAAATATATTTAAAAATATAAATAAAATGTTAAACAGTCAAAGAAACAGTCAAAATTAGATTAATAATTTTGAAGTCAAATTTCAAATCGAAAAATAAAAATTTAAGAAGTTTAAATATAAGTATTGGTCATATAATGTCGGTTATGTAATATCGTTATTGTTATATTTTCTTATTATGTCTTATAGACAAAAAAATATGTACAATTTTTAATATTTAACACAAAACTGTACACAATTACATTTGTCTATAAGAAATCATATAAAAATTTTCATATCTATATATAATAATTTGTCAAATTAGTTCGAAAATATTTAATAAAAAATATGTATCTACAAGAAACAAGATAATGTATACATATACGCATGATTGTTAAATCTCCAGGAAAAGATGTATGTGCAAAAATTAAAGTACTATATAATGATATGCTTACAGAATTCACAGAGCAGTTAATGTATGCAATTACGTATACAATTTCATACATACGAAATTGCAATAGACTGGCCAATCCAAAAGTGGTGAAAATGAAATATCTATCATCATTATGGAATACTACATGAGCAGAGACTGTGCAGAGTGGTAATTGATTATTAATGTCAGTTTCTTTTTTGAATTGTTACATTTACGCGTGATAAAGAAACAAAGCATTTTTTTTCAATTAAGGATAAAACGGAGAAAAATTGGGAAAATTCTTTTAATATATATCTCAAACATACATTTTTTTACTCCTTTTATACATTGAATTATACACGAAACAACTTCATACGATATGTATTTTTAAATAAAATTTTATCAATCTCTTAACAAAGATAATCATAACTTTGAAGTAAAATTATGCTACATAAATAACTGGTATAATTATGTAAAAATGTTAAATTACCGTAAGGCTACTATTGATTAGTAAATTAGAAACCTAATATATTGCTAACTTCAAAAAAGCTATTCTAGAATTAATATACATATACATACATATATATTTCTTTGGATTGATATATATAAAATTATATTTAAGTTTATTTTAATGGGAAATTGAACGTAGCATAATTCACACAATGTATATTATGTAATTGTAGAAATTGATGTATTCTTCACTTAATATCGCTGTATGATTGTATGCATAATAGGATCTTCAAAGCACAGTTAATTTTTTTTATATTTAGTTGTGTTGCACTTCTTATGCAATTAAAACAATTTTATTCGATCGTAAATAAAATAAACTTTGTTTTTTATATAAAAATAGAAATCGAAACTGTCATATATATCCCTTTTCCTATTATATAAGATTTACTTATCTGGCATACTTCTATTTCTTAGAATTGCCTGTGTTAGCTCGTTTAGATATCCTGTTCATTAATATATATATGTATTTACGTGTACGAATACAATGTGCTACACAAATTATTTTTATATGTTTATTCCAAAATATTGAAGATGATACAAAAGATCTAAAATGGTATGGGCATATCGTTAATATTTAAAAAGTATGCGATTTTTCTTATTGATATTACTTAAATATACAGTAATAACAATAAAAAAACAGATCCTAGTTTATTCGAGGTATCACAATGTATCTTTGTTCAGATAAAACATAGCCATTTTATAGATTATAAGATAAAAACTGTATATTCGCCCATCCACGCATATGTATGAAGTACTTACACTATTTCATGTATTTTATTGTTGTACATTTCCAAAAATGTGATTTAAATTGTTGCGCTTTATGATTCAAATCTGCCATTATAGTTTAACTTAAATATCTAATTTAAAATGTACTGGTAACGCCTGATTTAATGCTTAACATACAATCACGTCAAAGTAATTATATAAACACACATATACGTTGATAAATAAGATGTATACAATTGTGCTAAATTATTAATATATAGAATTTATGTTTGTTAACATTTCAATATTGTAGTTTGTCTATTTGTGAAATTTTTTTCTTTCCCTAGCTGTCACATGTTCATAAAACGTAACATTTATTTAGAAAATTGGATATATACATAAGAAAATTATTTAATGATGAATTAGTCTATTTGTCTATCCACAACATCTTTTTCATGTTTTTTATTCTTACTAAATAAGTGACTCGATTTATAAGAATTGTCTGATGATAAATATTTCTCAGAAAGCATTTTGTAGAATTGTGTACTAGTTTCTTATGGATGATCATATATTCTATAATGACCACAATACTATTTATCAATGCTTTCATTTGCACACTTAATGTAATAAAATCAGCTAACGTAATGCACTTTACAATAATTTCCTCTTATACTATTAAGTATAAAATGCTTAATAAATTCTATTTTTATGCTATATATTAAAAATATGTATAACGTTACACAATAGTCTTTCATATATAATAAATAATATAATATACATATATTCTTCAAGTTTATCAAAATCAAAGCTACCAAAATATTATACGATTATTCATTTAACATATGAAATAAATATATTAACTTATTCAGTATTAATATGTAGCAATAAATGCATCACTGCAATCAAAGTTTTTGTTGCAAACAAAAAATAGTTAAAGTTTAATTACAATTCCAAGGTATGTTCGAAAACTTTTATATGTACAATTTGATCAGATTTTAATGCTGATTTTGCATCAAGTGTGAATTCCGCAATATAAAATATATTAATGACATTTAAGAGGGAAGCATATCTCATTTGTATACATACATAATCGCAGCAAAGGCGATGAGCATAAAAAGGCAGTCATTGCATATTTATATGTTCTACCATAATAAATTCTATATCAGCATACTGTGCTAATTAACATACATTTTGTTTTATAGACCATTAGTATACATCACTTAATATATCACAATCTAATCTATTTTCATAGTGCAATTGAAATATAAAATATCTGTAAATTTATTAAACAGCCAGTTTATTAATCCTTCTCTAGTTACTTTAAATTCGAGCTAAGTTAGATATCAGATCTAACGGAATCTGTCACAGCGTATTTGAACTACTTTGAGTGTCACGCGTAAGTTAATAAAGTCACATATTTACATGTTGATTTCAAAATCACATCCATGCTCTCCTCCGCAATATATAAATATTATTATATAAATATTATTTTTATTTCAAAGGACCTCTCCAGAGTTTCTACCCTTTGATTTGAAGAATTCGAAATATACTGTAAATGTGCTTATATTGAAAGAAACTTACCAATTAAAAGAAAAGTTACTTATTATTAGTCCAACCTCGCCAAATTGAGGCGATACTTGTTACCAAACCACCAGCGACACTCTGATGTTCTTGCGTACTAGAAGATTGTTGACTAATCATCGCAGAAGACAGTACTGCCATTTCAGGACAAGCAATACTTGGTACCTGCATATAATGCCATGAACTAGTATCCATCAATAATCGTGTTCCTATTGCTTGAAATTCATTATAGAAGCATACATAACTTACAGCTTCCCATCCCCAACACAAATCTTCTTCGTCCGAAGCTGAATCATCACTATTTTCCAAATCGGGAACTAACTGATTGTGAAGTTGTGCTATTACAGACGGATCAACTTCCATTGGTCCAATTCTATGATATATAATATATGGATATGTAATTATAAATTTACGAATTCGTTTCTAATCTGTTAAGATTAATAAAATTATTACGAATTACCTTCCGAGATCACTAATTTCAGTATTGAGCAAATGCATTAGGTTTTGCAATGTATGCATAGGATTTAAAACTTCTATTTTGGTATTTTGTGTAAGACACAAATGTAACACGTTACTATTTAGTCTTGCCACTTTCCTAGCAAATTTTTGGTCCGACAATTCATTCCCGCAAAATTCTCTGAAAAAATATAGTCAAGATGAAGAAAATATCTCACACAATTTGTTGTTAAGATGTGCTCGTACATTACATTATCTACACCTAACAAAAATAGATAAAAAATATCACTTTATGAATGTTTGCAAGTAGTATATATAATTATATTCTTAATGCGTACCCACAAGTAAGTTTATATGGTAATTTTATATTAACATAATAGGCAAGAACATTAACCAGTTGCGTAGCGTATGTCAAAGCAGCACTAATATTATACGCTGGATTGTGCATTGCGTTTTCCTTATTCGCACCTGGCACTCCATCTTTATTTGCCGCAACTAAACATAATACATTTACACTTATGTATACTTAGATGTAATGTCACTAACTAATATGAAAATAAAAACAATTACTCCAAAGAGAATAAGCGCTGTAGTCTCCTGTCGCTGGTAACGTTGGTTCAACAATAGAATGATGAATTTCCAAAGAACTTTCTTTCTCGTTAATCCATCTACCCCGTACATATGACGTACCTGATGCATCCGCTAATGCGCTAGTAAGAATATCCGAGGTGGCACTATCGCTGTCCTCGCTGCTGCACAAACTATAAATAATATCCGTAATATTAACAATCTTGAAGAGCTTTTAACAATTCTATATCACTTTTATGTTTATATTTCTAATACCTTCTATTTGGTTGGACCTTAGATAAAGGAAAAATATACTGAATTAACTGCTTGGTAGCAGTTCTAATAACTTTCTTTAGTTGCTCCCTTTTTCTATCCACAACTTCTCTCTGTTTCTCCTGCTTAACTTTCAAGCCATTAACATATCGATGTAATTTCTCTATTCTATCCTCGTGCCGTGGCACTCGAAGAGTCAACTGAGAGTTGACATCTTTCAAAACATTCAGACGTTGATTACCTAAAAAATTAAGTAATTAATAAAAGAGATAATTCAAACAAGTACTATATTAGGTACAAATTTTAAGTCTTACCTCTATTGATACTTTGTCTTGTTTCATTTACTAGAGACTGCAGTAGTCTCACTCTTTCTTTACATGTATTTATATCACAAATCTGAAATTACAAATTCAAAATATGAGATATTATATCACTAAATAAACATATTGTATAAGAAAATATTTTACTTGATGATTGCACAATTATATATATTTGTCCAAATTACATGATAATTTTCTGTATAACATCTTCGTTTAATTATATTAAAAAGACCAACTGTCTGCAGGAAATTTCTTCGTTCTCACATATTAAAATAAATATGTATTTATAAACAAGTGTCTCTTTACATATTAGATCTGTTCTTTTCAGCTGAACATGTATCGTTCATCTTTTCTTCTTTTCTTTTTAATATGGAGAGAAAAAGAAGATGAATGGGATAAAAAAATTCAGCTGAAAAGAGAATAGATCAATGGATAGAAACTTTAGAACAGAAAAGAATTAAATTAAAGAGAGTTTTAGTTCAGTTTAGAACAGAAAGTTCTAGGAAGACTAAATTATAGTTTAGAACAGAAGAGAATTATTTATTTTGATTATGGTACCAGTTTATCTCTCTGCTTGTGCCTCTCCAGAGCCTTCATACACTTCTCTTCTAGCTGGGCTCTAGCAGCCTTCAGCCGTACCAGTCGCACTTGTTTATCCGCGAACCTGAATCATCAGTAATTATAACTTACAACTACCTAAAATGTGTTTCCAACGCGACATTGCTCTTAAAGATAGCTACCATATTTTTAGAAATAATACGTTCCATGGACTTGGTCAGATCTAAACACGCAAAAAAAAAAAGAGAAAAAAAAAACAACAAGCCATTGCGTTCTTGACAAGAAAAAAAGAAAAATAAGACGCACCGTTCGGAATAGGTGTTCGAATGTATAAAATCCCCATTCTGGATGCACTGGCGGCAGTAAAAAATCCGACGACTGTTTTGGCACAATGGGCACTTGAACAGATTCATGCTCAGACGACTGGACGCGTCCTCCAGCTCGGACGAGAGCTGGAAATCCGCGGGCGCGGTGCAGGAGCCGTCGGAACTACTCGTCGCCATAACCAGCAGCAGCGACAGCGATGACGGTGACAGCAGTAGCAGCAACAATAGCAGCAAGCAGCAGTAGCAACAGTAGTGAGAAAACGACGGACCCTCCTCCTCGTCCTCCGACTAACTTGTATTGTTGTGTTGTCCCTCATCAGCTGATCCGCGATTATTTACTTGTGCCGCCGCGCCGCGCCGTGCCGCGAATCCTTTCCTCCACTCTTTAAGAACTCCCGTTCTGCTTCGTTCTCGCTTTGTCTCTTTCACGTTGACGTCAATGACGTCACGCGATGATTTCCAGCCAATATCGTTCGACGTGCAGAGAATGTTGCTTTTTTTCCTTTTTTTTTTCGTTTACGGAAATTTAAAGAAAGAAGAACTCTTAAAGTCAAAACAATATCAATTTAATGTCATATTGATCGATTATTAATTTTGAACGAATTCATGTTATTTTTCCGTCATAATTCGCTTAATATGATATTATTTTAATTTTCTTGTCCTCCTTGGAGATGTTCTTTTTTTTTTTTTTAAATCTAGTACCGCGCGTTTTGTCACACCAAAGAGAAACCTGGGGCGCGATTCCGTAACTATCTTTACATGACAGTTGTTAGTGTCGTAGCGCAGATATTTTATGGTGAAAAAGCTGCGCAATGATACCGACAACTGTTAGTAGGCGTGTACACCGACGAGATACTATTAAAGACCGACATTCTTACGGAGTTGTGAATATTGAAGTAATTAAGAGTTAAAAACTGATAATATTGTACTAATTTTATAATTTATTAGTTTAATGGACATATTTATGCGTTTAGAACTCAATAATACTCGATTTTTCTTTAAAATTGTGATTTCAGTGCTATCATCAAAGTTTGATTATCAACAGAGATGATAACTGCAGAGAAAAAATTGGTAATTTTTCTGCAATATATAGAATATTATAGCTTTATAAGTATGCATATTTATTTATGGAACATTTATGTAATAAAAAATCATGAATTTAATAATGTATAAACCAAATATTTATGTTAATAATAGTAAATCTATATCAATTGTCGATGATGTCAGCGTTCTTCAATTATCTCCGGGCCCTTTTTATACCGCCGAAAATTTGCCCAGGGTTGACAGTCTTTAATAGTATCTCGTTGGTGGCGTGTAAAACAATTACGGAATCGCGCCCCTGAGAGGCTATGCCGGCCTTTTTCCTGTTATCGTCGAAATCACTCGTACACTACTGCCAGTACATCCTTTTTCAGTTTGAGAACTACGTGACTACATACATTTTCTGATACTATCGATAAAATCATATTGTTGAAAGTAGATGTGGTTCATCTCTGTACTAAATCCTCAGGATAGAAGACGTGCCGATTATCTAAAAGAGGGATAGTTTAATGGGTCTGTAAGGAATTTACTAAAGAGACTTTAAATATAAAAGATTTCTCCCTTGAAGGTTGTGAGATCTATTCCTCAAACTCTTTCGAGTTTCCCAAGGAAGCGATATAGAAAATAAACTCTGGTGTTTGAATGGATAGGCGATTAAAAGAAGTTTCTGCGATAATCGTATCTTATAGAACAATATCAGACACTTTATTTAACGGATTTTATTATAACACTCACGCTTCTATTAACACGGCGTTCTCGCTTACGGACTCCACGAGTCTTTCTTACAAAATATAAATACGTTACGAATACTTAGACACAATACTTGTTTTTCCTTCTTTCGCCAATTACTTCGATTTTAGACGGGATTAACGCTTATACGAAGACGTCCGATCTGAGCTCTCCAGGCCCCAGTAGTCTTGAACCGTAACCGAATACTTTGCTCCGAATTTTTAATTCACGATTACTCCGAATTTCGAAAGATGATTTTACACCGTATAGCGAAGAGGGAAAGATGAGTTAAAAAATGTAAATAGTCACGTAGTTCTCAAAACTGAAAATGGATGTACGTGTGATTTCGACGGTAACAGGAAAAAGGCTGGCAATGACCTCTCTCAGGTTTTTCTCTGCTCTTTAAATATAAATCGTCAAATAGCACTTCGTAAGCCTCAATATTAACTAGAATATAATTGGAGATTGTCCAATTTTAATAACGATTCATGCTTGCAAGGCGTGCTTAGTCGAAATAAGATCTACGATAGAAAAACGAAGTTTGAAAATGTGGCGCTAAAAATAAACGACGCAGCGCTGTAACTATTTGTAAATAAAGTTTAAAGTTGGCGGCAAAATTTGGAACTAACTCAACAGCTGATATCGACTGGGAAACATGGCGAAATTAACCCATGTCATGTGGGGTTTGTCTTCAAATTTTGCAGCAAATCGGTATTTCTCTCGATTGTTGGCGTGAGTAAAATTTATTTTCTTTTAACACATTAAATCTAACATAATCATTTTGTATAATATGTAAACATGTTACTTTATTACCATAAAATGTGACAATATAATTTTGTATATTTAATGTGCTGTATTATATATATATTTTTTTTGTTTGAATTTCAATACAAATATTTATGTGTATTGCAAGGGAAAAATGTATTTTATTTGTAATTGTATTGAAAAATATTAGAAAATAATAAAAATATACTATATAACTAATATGAATCATGTGCTAATAATAAAAGTAAAAATCATTTAATTTCATCAAGAAGGAAGAATAATTTGACAGCAATTACATATTATTTGAGTTTTAGAATTCGGGTATATAACTTAAAGAGAGATTGAAGGTACAAGATCCATTAACCAATGGAGAGAGATATATATAATATTTAAAAA